GAAGCTATTGTAGATAGCCCGGGGGGTCTTGGGGGAGAGGGGGAGGTGGGGCTGCCACATTCCGACCCCCACAGGTTAAAACCAGGTCTGTGAGCCAGGGCGAAGAGGGAGAGAGGCAGAAAAAATGGGAAAAAGAAGCCCCAAAAAGCCAAAATTGGGGAAATTGAAAACCCGTGGGTTAGAAAATAGTCCAGGTCACCAGCCGGAGCCTGGCCTGATTTATCCAGGGCATCTGTCGGCTTTCCTTCCCTCTCTCCTTTCTGAAAAACCTTTCCCATTTCCCATCTTGGCAGGGCTGGTTATTAAATCCCTGTTAAAGGTGGTAACAAAACCCTACCATCCCCACCACACTGCCCAGACCACCCTTCCCACCCCAAAACCTGGGCAATTCCCCCCTTGGCTTTTCCTTACCATCCCGTCGGCCTCTCCAGGAGATGCTGCTGGAGCGAGGGGGACTGGGGTGGCTTCTGCACCGGGGACGAGGGGTGATCCTGGCCGGAGCAAGGCTGGTAGAGCTTCTTGCTGACCTGTGGGTCACCAAGGAGCTTCTCTCCAGGCTGGAAGGATAATGAATAACAGCCCTCCCCTTGGGATTTGCCTGATTCCCTGGGGGAGGAGAGGGGCTGAGCCCTTTGCTCCCGGCTGGCAGAGCGGGATCCGGGTACGGATTTGAACCTGGGGTCCCACGTCCTTCAGGGACGCTGCAAATTATAGTGATAGGACAAGAGGCAATGGCCTCACATTGCATCGGGGGGGTTTAGATTGGATATTGGGAAAAATTTCTTTGTTGAAAGAGTGGTCAGGTCTTGGCCCAGGCTGCCCAGGGCAGTGGGGGAGTCCCCATCCCTGGAGGGGTTCAAAAACCGTGTGGATGTGGCACTTGGGGACAAGGTTTAGCAGGCATGGGGGTGTTGGGGTGATGGTTGGACTTGATGATTTCAAAGGTCTTCTCCAACCTTGATGATTCCATAATTCTATGAAACTCCAATAGTTTGGGGAAGAAGATGCTTCGGGGGGTTTGGGGGAGAAGCCGCTTCCCTTTAGAGGGTCCTCACCCTGGAGTGGGTCCCCTGAACCTGGCAAGCTGGGCTAAGTGGGGAGGGCAAAGTGGGGAACAGGGAAAAGGCCCTGCCAGGTTTGGGGGGACCCGGCAGCAGGCAGACGGAGGGGGGTTCAGGCAGCGGGTGATGCATTGGCCTCGCAAGTTGGGCTCTGGGGGAGGAGGAGGAGGAGGATGCCGCACGCCTCGCACGTTTGCCTTGCACCCCAAACTCGCTGGTGGGTCCCACCGGTCCCGTCTGAAGGACAGGCGAGGAGCAGCGATTTGCAGCGCTCCGTGGCTGCGCTTTGGTGATAAGCAAGCCCTCCCCGGTCCCTCATTAAGGAGGGGATGATAACGATTTTTCTGAGCCGGTTAACTCGGGCAAGGTGACCCCCGGGAGGGCAGGGAACGGCCGCTGCAGGCGGCTGCCTTCGCATGATGCTCGGAGACCCGGCTTTTCCAGCCAAATCGCGAATCGGAGGGAAAACGGCTTCTTAATTACGGAGCGGGAGCTGCGCAGCCCGCGAAGGACCTCATGGCACCTCCAGCAGCTTTTTCCATGGGTCTTTACTTTTTTTTAGCTCCTTGACCTCCCGACCATCCTGAAACCCCGCTGATGTTTTCCCGGCTGCAAGGCAGCAAATTAATGAATAATCCTCCGACACACCTTGGAGCCCAGACAGGCGCCGAGGGGGCAGCTGAGCGGGGTCAGACGCCTCCACGGCTGCCCAGCTGACAGCTCTGGGTCCAAGGGCTGGGCAAAGGTCATCAAAAACCTCCAAAAAGCTGAAAAAAAAACCCCCAAGGGATTATTTTTTAACAGCGCAGGGTGAC